ATTTTTTGCTTTATACATTATTTGTGCTGTGTTGTATTCTACAAGATCCATCAGCTTCAAGATATTAGATTTTACAAATAATGTGTTGGTGTGTATATATATATATGTATATTTTATATGAACGACATCATCGTCTCCTTGAGATCATTAAATGATATTAGCTCTTACTGGACATTTGTTTAGCTTGTATGTTAATAAAGCTGACCTTCGGGGTTGCACATGGTAAAAGGACTAGTGATTTTAGGATGTTATCTGATGATGAGGACTGAGACCAGTCTGGTGATCCAGATCATATTTTAGTAATCCATACATCCTTTGATGTCAATATTCACCTGTTTTAGCCCTAAAAATAGATAAAATAAATAAATTTGTGGATGCAAACTCATCAGTGAAGAAGTTTGAAGTTGGTCTTTAACATTCTAAAAGTAGCCAATTAAATGTCTTAAAGTGCATTTTAAATGAAAGGTATGTGGTTGGATACACAGGAATCTTAGCTTTTTTTCAGACTGGCGAGCTTGGATTTGTTTACTTTACTCCTTAGACTGTGACTGAATGTTTTATGATTGTTTCTAAGATCTTGTCTTGAATTAGCCTGACAGTGATGCACAATACAGCACAGCCCACGCTTCCACAAAAGCTTTCTCTCCGCAGTAAACTGTCCTCTGTCCAGGGGACAGCTCCCCAACCCTAACTTATGTTTATACAAAGGCACATTCTCTTTATCTTGCTCTGTGCTGTTAATCATCCAGGTCCAATACTTGTTTCATAGATATGTGTATCTGTAGACCAGAAGGTGGTGAAATTGGAATTGAGTTCCAAAAAAAGTAGTAGGAATGATAAAGACTAAAGAGAAAGCTGAACTACACATGACACCACCTACAACTGTCTACCATGCATAAAAGCTTAATTTGACAATAAATGTGGCCGTATATATTTCCTTGTAGAACTGGAAAAAACTGTGACCCCAAGCCTTGTACATACTTTTACATTTGCTCAGTGACCATTTTTGGTAATTTGACCTTTACCAGGGAGCTGCAATTAGACTATTCATTAAATGTCAAAATGATAAACACAGCTTTACTTTTGAAATGATTAAAATGCCATTAATATTGTGAATGTGTCTTTCAAGTAATAACCGTTGTTATTGTTCTTCACCAGGGACGTTTACTTCAGAGGCCAATGGCAGTGGCACTGTGATAAAAGAGATGGCTGGGAAGCACTTTCCACTCTCTGATCTACTCCTGATTTTCTTTATGCACAGGAGCCATGGAAAGGATCATCTGATGGAAAAGTGAACTGGCAGTAGTTGAGAGATTTCTGAGATAATTGGATGAGCCTGTTTAAACATTTTCTACTGAACAGCAGCACTGTCTCAGTGACCCTGTGCCTGAAGAGGAGGTCACCATGATCTCCACAGCTGTCCGCTGGCTCTTCCTGGTGTCTTTTATCATCCTGACCATTGGTGGGAACGTGCTGGTATGTTTGGCTGTAGGGCTCAGCCGTCGACTTTGGCGCATTGCTAACTGCTTCGTGGTGTCATTGGCAGTGACAGATCTCCTGCTAGGTCTGCTGGTGCTGCCCTTGTCTGCCACTGTGGAGCTGCGCAGAGGGAAATGGCCCCTCGGAGGAGCCCTGTGTAACATCTACATATCACTGGATGTCCTACTGTGTACATCCTCCATCCTGACCCTGTTGGCCATCAGCGTGGACCGGTATCTAGCCATTTCAGCTCCCCTTAGCTACTCCCGGAGAGTTACCCGTCTAAGGGTCACACTGGCCATGATCGCCATCTGGATCTTGTCACTGGCTGTGTCCTTTGTGCCCATCCACCTGGGCTGGAACACAGCAGACTACAGAGTGCAACACTTGGACTGGGGCATGGGGGATGAGGACAAGGAGGGACGCTACTGCCAGTTTGAATGGAATAACAACTATGTTCTTATTTATGCCTTTAGCTCATTTTACCTGCCTCTGCTGCTTATGTGTGGAATGTATCTTTGCATATTCAGAGTGGCACGAGAACAGGTCAGTGTTTATTTTCATTTTGTAAAGCCTCCTGAGGTGGGATATAAAAGGTCATAACTTAAGGCATGCATTACTTTTTGCATCTGTGTAAGGCTACTATTTTGGAAATCAAGGCAAAATATGATTTCATATTAGCGATCTGCATTTCACTGGAAAGATAACATTCACAAAGTCACAGTTACTTACTTGTATTGTATTGCTGAAATAAATCCTTTGTTATCAGACCAGTAGGTGAGCTCATCTCATATTCTGTGTCCTCTGGTTCTCTAACCTTTTCTTAAACAATTTTTTCAGGTTCGCCGTATCCGTGCTGCAACTCCATCATTTGCACGCACAGCATCAACTGCAGCCATAGCCCGAGAGCACAAAGCTACAGTGACCCTGGCAGCTGTTCTGGGGGCCTTTGTCATATGCTGGTTTCCTTATTTCACCTTCTTCACCTGCATGGGCATAAAGGAAAAGACAAACCCCCCTAATACACTTCACTCTGTGGTCCTGTGGCTGGGCTATTTTAACTCAGCTCTTAACCCCATCTTGTACCCAGCCTTCAACAGGGATTTCCGCAGGGCCTATGCAGAGCTGCTTCGCTGCAGAGGACTGTCTCACAGAAAGCTGCAGCTTACTCGTGTTTCTGTGCAGAAACGATTGACCTTTACTAACGGACAAAGGGTTCCCCAACAGTCTGAGAAACACACAGTTAAGAAAGAAACTGAGGGGAAGAGCCTCACCCTACATGAGAGAAATGGTATCCCCAATGAACCAAGCTGAAATGCCATGGCTCTGTTATTCCATTGCTGGAAATGTAGACTGTCAGCAAAAAGTTTTCAAATACAATCTTGCTCCACAACTCACAGTGCCAGATTAGCTAACCATTTACAGTATCAGTTAGATGTTTAGTGTATAGTGGCACAGATGATACCGTTTATGTACAACTCAAAGCACAACATCATGAATTTGTTTTGGTGGTGTACTGGATACAAAAGTAGTGCCAGTGTTTTTTTGATTACATCAAAATGTACTTCAATGAAATTCATCATACTGAAATGTCTTAATTGAAGATGTGCCCTTCCAGTGGAGAAAACATGATAAAATGCTCTCCAGAGTGCCCTTCCATTAGACAAAATGTCCTAACGCTGACTCAGCTGTTTGACCAGAAATGCGTCACAACTTTCTGCACGCTGGTGCCCTTTTTAGTTTTTTTCGCCCCTGCCCCTCAAATAGCCTGAGTCTGCCACTGACAGCAATGTAATTCAAAATAAAGAGTTGGCAGAGCAGAGGTAACTGGAACGAATGGATGACTCAATAAGTTTCCCAGCAAGCTGCATGGAGACACAGGTGGTTAAAGGTTTGCAAACTGTTTATTTTCTCTTCCCTCAACACTGCCAATGAGAGTAAATAAGTGATCAGCAAGCTGATTTGATATGTATAATATGTGTATGTTTGACTTCACCTGAGCAGGGTGGCTTACTGGAAGTTTGAACTCCAATTGGACAAGACATTCAGACAAAATACTTCAAAAATGTCTTTTAATTATTTATGCATTCCTGCAACACCATTTAACTGGAGTTATGATTAATGCATGACTGAAGTTAATGATTTCTAGTGCCCCCAACAAGTCAGACTTCCAGACTTTTTTAAGACTTCTACTTCACACACACTGCATCACAATAACTATTATTATACTATGAAATCTACATCCTTGAAATCATCATTATGTATGGATCATATTATGGATTATGGATTATTCTCATGTGTAGACATCAACAGTTGAAATAATTTGACACTACAACCCATTGACACTCTGCTCAGTGGTATAAGAACAGAATGAGTATACAGGATGAGGGGGGGTATACTGAAAGATTTGGTACCAAGAAATATTCGATTGCTTTTACTTGAATATCAGTTTATTAATAAAATAATTTAAATTATTTTTTTGTATTTAACATATTTATTTTAGTATTTTTGTCCCTTACATTTATTTTTTTTATTAAGTACTATCTAAACCCATCTAATCAAATACATTTTTGCATAGGTTATCAATGTATTGTAGATACCACTGTAAAATAAGTGCTTTATTTGGTCAGCGGTAATATGCCATTTTTAAAGCATAGTCGGTAACGAGACAAGGCAAGCTGAGTGTGATTGTAATGGAAGTTCAATGTGAGTCTTGGTACTGTCGATGGTAGCTGAAGCCAGCTCATGCAGTAGGCTGCAGCAGGGAAAGAGATCGAAATCCCTATTGAGATGAATTGATGACTTGCCTCAACCTTGTGAAGACATTGGATTCTCAAGTATAAGGTCTGAAAGTGGAAGCGATCCAGCCAGCACCAGCAGAGTTCTGTCTGAAATACTATGAAGTAATAAAAATTATTAACTCTAATTCAGGTCAGGTGGCAGAGAAGTAAAAAGTGAGAATGGAAGTGCAGGGCCATTTATTTAGCATTAAATGCAACTGAGTCCTCCTGAACTGAGGAGGATGTATACTGTTCCCAGTGACATTCAGTACATTTGGTGGTAAAAATTTACCACCAAGATAAAAATAAATTCCTCATGCATCTATAGGTTCTCACTCAATATCAGTCCTACTGACTACTGCCAATGCTGAACATGCAGCTTGCTGTTTTAACTGTTCAACAATAGATGGAGCATGTGAAATAGGGAAATGTCTTAGATTCATCCAGAAGTTTATGGAGCTTTTAACACCTGTCTTCTGTACAATGAATGAGAGATGCAAGTTTGCAATTCGACTTTTGAAAGGATGTTTTTTGTTTGTATGTATCTGTGATGGTGAATTATACAGAATGTTTAATATGAAAATGTCATTACTTGGTAGCCAAAAAAATAACAATTCTTAATCTTAAAAATATCATATATCAGAGATATGTTATTATGCATAACTAATGCAAAAAGGAGGTTATATAGGTATTGAGAATACAAATATATGTGACATAATGAATTAGTTCTGGTTTGAAACGCATTCATAATGGAAAGTTCCATTCCATTCATGGAACAGACTCAACCCATTTAAATCTTATCAGCATGGGTTCTGTGCATCTGTAAATGTTTGATGATAAATAGTGTGCTGCAACTGAACCTGGACTGAAAAGAATTAAGAGAAAAAGGAATAATCCAGAAAATAAAAGGATCCACCACTGATGATCACCATCCCAAGATAGTAAGGCCACATGATAGAAGTCTTTCGTTGTTGGACATAATGGGACCAAATCTGTGCCTTTTAATCATGTTAAAAGTGAGTTAAGGGCCGACAGGTCCATAATGGTTCCAGGCAGCGTGCGTCATCATGTGTTTTATGAAAATGTATCGCTCGCTCAGAAGTGTGCTAATCCAATATTGTGCTCGTCTCATTGCTTATGAGGCCTGTTGACCATGCTACCTACCGTGACCTGATGTTAAATCTCTCATTGTCATTGTGGTTATCTGTTTACTCATACGTTGTCATTTCCTATGATAAATCTCTATAGCGCAAATAAAATCCCACGTACAATAGAGCAGCATTTATCTCAGCGTACCTTGTTGTATGACTATTGTTTTGGTGTGTGTCTGAGTGTGAACAATTATTTATTTGTGTTAATAGAGCACAGATAATTCAAGCAGATGGACGTAGGTACAGTGTTTACAGTGTTGTAGGAAATAATCCAACAGTGGGGATGGAGCCTGCTTTCTGGGATTTCCATTTTAATATGATTATAATATGAGACATTGCACACCAGAAACAGCATCACAATACTGTACACTGTATGTGCCAAGAAACACTATAACAATAAAAAAAGAGCAGAACCAGGACAAGAAGAACCTGAGACAGACCACAACAGTTGCCCTTTGTTCATTGTGTATTTGTTGGCACAATTACATGCATGTTTGCTGTTTAGACTAATGTAAGTCTTAAAGGGGAACTTGGCAACCCTAGCCATTTCTTCGCTGGTTTT